CGCCGCCAGAGCGGCCTACAACCCCCACCATGCTCTGCGCCGCGCTGGGGCCCATGGGATATGTAGTCCTGCGGGCGGCAAGGCGGAGAGGCGCCGGACGGCGCTAGAGAGGCCCAGGCCCTGAGCTCAACCCCAGGCCCTCCCCATAGCCAGCTTGTCTTCGCAGGGAAACACCCAGGGGAGTGGTTGGGGAAAATGGACTACAACTCCCACAAAGCACCGGGGCAGCCTCGTGGGAGCGGGCCACGTGGGGCTCCAGGTGGGGCTGGGTATGTGCTCTCAGAGCTGGGGGCAGGGGCAGAGCCCCTATAAAAGCTTCCTCCCCGGGCTTCCCTCCCCTACTTCTATAGTCTCTAGCCGGCTGCCCCAAGCCACAGGCTAGGGTCAGGGAGAGGCCACCCTGGGGGAGACTGCCCTGGCCTCAAATAGGCCTGACCCCACCCAGCCCTAATGGCAGGGTCAAGCGTTGGGTGGACTAGTGGGGACAGGCTGACCTGGCAGAGGGGCTGAACAAAGACAGTCCTGGGGAAGAGGTGGGCTCACATGCAGCTAGCTATTGGTATTCTCTATGCAGCTAGAGAATGGGTAGGGATGCTCCTGACTACAGCTCTAGCCTGGTACCCTCCGTGTCCTGCTAGGAAGGAGCAGGCGGGGACAGCAGTGTAATGCATGCTGTAGATTACGAACCCCCGAGTAACCTGTACGTTGCACAGCTGCATGCAGGTGCTAGATTTCTATAGCTCCAACAAGCCTGGGCTTCTACTACTGAGCTAAAGAGCAATCTCCTTCAGCCATAGGACTGTGGTATTGGGTTTATGTCAGCTGTAGGCTGGTAACCAAGAAGGGGTGACATATCACTCTCAGTTGGGCAGGTCTGAGATTCCATGCAGTAGAGGCAGGTCTATCCTGGGAAGAGTGAGTTTAAACCCACCCAAAACTAAAGGCCTGCCCCATCAAGTGAGGGGGAGCTGCCACAGAGCCCAGAAAGCAACTAATTCTGGGGGGCAATGAATGACAAAACAGGGAGAGGCATGAAGGTCAAAGCAAAGGCTGCAGAGAGGGACACTGAGCAGAGAACGCTGAACACCATCCACTGCTTCATGAAGGAGCCCCAGGAGTCAGTGGATGCCATCTGAGGAACTCTGCAGTAGAGGCAGGATTGACGCTACACTGCTGGGAACCAGGTTTTGTTGGGATTTTTGGGGCTTCAGTTCAGTGCTGCAGCTGTGAACATGGCACTGAAAAGAGCAACAGAGGGCTGCAGAAAAGACAGTTCCTGAGCTCAACACCCTCCATTGTGCTATCACTTAAACCCAGGGAATAAATTATTTTTCTGATTTTATTTAAAGAAATTCCTTTTTATGTCTATTTTTCTGGATCAAACAACAAGGAAAACTCTAGGGAGGGGAGAGGTGACAGCACCCAAGATGCGAGTCTTGGGGTTTTCACTTGAAGGCAGGTATGGTTGACACATGCAGATGGGTTACAGTGTGAGGGAGAAGGATAGAGGGCAAGCAGAGAGCTGGGGCCCTGGCAGGGGAGGACGAGTGGGTGACAAGAGCTAGCTGTACTGTGTATGGATACTGTCGAGATGATAATATTTGTGCCTGAACTAAAGATTCATCCCATCTTTTGGCATGAGCATGGAATCTCTGGGAATAAGCCTGCCCTTACAAAAGGAACTGGACTAGCTGGTTTAGCACATTTCCATCTCCAGTTTCTTATGATCCCAAAACCTTTTGCAGATTTAATAAGCTGACATATAAACTAGGCAAAAGGATGACCTCACCCACCCACTGAAATGCAGCCTCCCACAGGATGAAAGGGGAGAAACACCACCACATAACAGATTAGGAGACTACAGGGTCTACAGATTTGTTTTTTTGTTTAGGTTGCCAGCTGTAAATTACCTGAGATGGAATTTGGCCAGGATGCACCTACAGAAACCAAACTCACCTCAGACCTTCCAGCACGTACTTAGCGCAGATCACGTGGAATAGAAACAGAATAGAACAGGAGGCCAACTGTAATAGAAAGTAGGTGGAAGGTGTACCAGTGCTTGGCCACACCCTACCTACCCTCCATCACGGGCCAGTACCACTCAGGAAGTCGGTAGTGCTGGTGTGGAAGGGGGTGGGATCAGAGCAATTAGGGGATGGGTTAGATTCAGCACATCCTCTCAGCAGCCTCCCCTAGCAGAACTCCCATGGAAGTGAGAGCTGCTATCCATCCCCTGGTGTAGGCACTAAGGAGAGGGCAATATTAGGAACAGCACCCATCCTCCCTGGGGTATAGGCCCTCTGAGAACAGTAGCCTTGTAGGTTTGGCAAGCTGCAATTTGCAGGGGGTGAATCTAGTCCACTGTGCTAAAGAGGATTTTTTTCTGTCATTGACGCTTCCCCATCTCACATTACAGAAACACAAAAGTAATCTTAAACAAGATTTTCCAATGAAACAACATCCTTTTCCCCAGCTGCAGCTGAGTTCACAACATCTGCAGATAGGGTGGCCAATCCCAGCTAAAGACCTTCAGTGGGGCGATCCCTGCCCTGTCCTCACACTCCCCTTCCCCTCAGCAGCAGGAGCAGCAAAACTCCTCCTGGTCCCTTCAGAGATGGACCAGCACTTCTCCAGTCCATTTACAGATGGCTCAAAGGGATCTGCTCTCAGCTTCCCTGATGTTGCACCTCTTCTCCGTGGATCTGACAGTGCTCCCCAGGACATGCCGCCTTGGAGCAGTTTGGCCAAGGTTCAGGAATAACAGCAGAGCCCTTCCCAGAAGTTCATTTTTACTTGCCTGGCAGCAGGAGTTCGCAGCCTTTGCTGCTTCCATCACAGCATCAAAGAGAGCGACCACATCAGCTTCTGCTCCCTCCACACCCACCAACTGTCCTGTTCAACAGCCACAGCACCTTCTGTTCTAATGGTCCACCATCTTAAAGGGACTTTTAAAATTCCTTTCTCCTGCTGTTTCAGTCTATCTGCAGGAAGAATCTTTCCCCCAACTGCACCTAACTCCTACAAAACGTGCAGTGAGACCTTTAGAGACTACAAGAGGTCAGGCATTGGCTTTTGGTACATGTGTGAAGTGACTGAAAGTGCATTTCAGAATATTGTAAAGATGTCTGTATATCTCCCTGCTAGAAAAATACCGGTGGTTATCAATAATGGCATTGATGAGCAACAGAATGTAAATAAAGATAACGTAACAACCTACAACTTTACAGGTGTTGGCACATAGGGCTTAGTTATGACATACATAGGATAAGTTCTGATTCCTTCCAGCCGAGGGCAGTGGTGCATATACACTCTAGCCATGTCATTACAAACAACATGTGTTTAGAACATGCCTATAACACTGCAGAAGTCCATTCACTATAGACCAGGGGTTCTCAAACTGGGGGTCGGGACCTCTTGGGGTCAGGAGGTTATTACATGGGGGGGGGTCACAAACTGTCAGCCTCCACCCCAAACCCTGCTTTGCCTCCAGCGTTTATAATGGTGTTAAATATATAAAAAAGTTGTTTAATTGATAAAGAGGGGTCACACTCAGAGGCTTGCTATGAGAAAGGGGTCACCAGCACAAAAGTTTGAGAACCACTGCTATAGACTGTACTGTCAAACAGCAACATTACCCTTTGTGTGATGTAGGGTCAGTGGAAATAAGACTTTCTGGAATGTGGAATGTAAATAGAAAGAGTGTAACTAGCAACATTCCAGCTTTTGTGTTATAAACCAAAACCGACAAATACGCAGCTCAAGAGGTGCATCGACCAAAACCTCCGGTGCATGCGTTTGAAATCCAAGCCTGGAACCAGACCTGAGTTTTGCAAATGACCACCGGTTTTACAATGGATATAATCAAAACCCTACGCTTCCCCAACCTGGGGTGGTGGAGATCCGGCTTCAGATTCTGTGGCTTGCACCCGGCTCTTTTTGAAAAAATATCATAAAAACAACTTCTGTTCCGGGGGCCGGGAGACCAAGTACTTGAGCTGTGTTCCCAGGGCTTGTGATGGAATTTCCTTGTGTGGAGCCTGCTTGTTATCCTTGCTGTGAACAAAAGCTACAGGGAGTAAATCTTTTTCTCCAAGCTATTGAAATATTATTCGTGCATTCTAACCACTGAACACAAGAACGCAGACCCCCAGGTCAAGGGACAGGCTTACGACTTACCAGGCCCTTGTAGGAACCCCCGATGGAGAGAACTGGTCTTGGTGTCCTTCTTTGTTATGGTCCTGCTGCTGGATGGCAGGAGGGTCAGGCTGTGACTCCGGAAGCACTGAGCTTGAAGCAGTCATTATGGCCCAGTTCCTCAAAGGTATTTAAAAGCCTCATTTCCACTGAAATCAATGGGAGTTAGGCTTCTAAATACCTTTCAGATTCTGGGCCTGGGTGCGTACAGCCAGCCTTAACTATGACCTCGAAATAATATTCCACAGCTTCAGTCCACAACTCCTTGAAACTGGATGGGTTCTTTGCAAAGGGGAGCCTCTCCTTCCTCCCCATTAGTTGGGCTTGGGTCCCTGTCTTCAGGTAGGGTGGTTTACCAAAGAGCTTGGGTAGCCCTTGTTACAGGAAAGGAAACGACAAGAGCAGTCACCGAGCGTCTGGGAATATACCACACCATGTTCAGGTCAGCAGCGCAGCACCGGGACCAAGCCTCACCTCTTATAAGGAAGTGTCTTTCTGAATAAGAATCCAGCTATGTACTTATATGTCCTTCGATGCCATACTTTCTGAGTACCCCCCATCGTGGATTTATCCTCCCAACAGCCCCTGTTGGATAGGGAACTAGCATCCCCATTTTGCAGATGGGGAAATGGAGGCACAAACAGTGACCAGCCCAAAGTCACACCAGGATTTTGTGGCAGTGTCAGGAATTAAACCCAGATTTTCCAAGTCCCAGTATCATGCCTTAATTGCAAAAATAGCCGTCCCTTTCCCCAAAGCAGGAGCAGCCCCCATCAATGCAGATTGGTTAAGCCACACCTTTTATTGTATTGTATTCCATGCAATATGTTCATGTTTAATAGTGACAGATAGGGAGGGAAAATGTTAGACACAAATGAAAGCAGAAAGGTCATTTGTGTCAGGTCCTGAGGAGGAAAGGCACATAGTTACCACTGAATTCAAAAAGAAAAAAAAAAAACCCTAGACAGCGGGAAACACAACACTGGAGGCCATACGAGAAAGAGGGAGCTTCAAATTGGTTGACACGGAAGTCAGTTTGACAATGTCCTATATATTCCTTAGGTCTTTAGTTCAAGTGAGCTTTGTGATCTCAACACACCCCTGAAATCTCTTTCCCATTCCTGTTCCAAGAGCGTCTAGGAGTCCGAGATCCCCCAAGTTCAATCAGCACCGTCGAGCACACAAGGTATTGAGGGGACTCCTTCCCACAGGGATGAGCGAGGAAAGGATGGGTGATGGAAGTGGTGTAGGGAGAGTCTTCCATCACCAGGGACCTGCAGGTCACATCCAGCTGCCAATGATGGATTATTGTAGCATGGAGGACTGCAGCAGCACCAATGACTTGCCTTGGCTAGTAGGTATTGCTATTCCCAAACATCAAATAATACCGGAAATGAAAGGTGGTGGATGGATACAGCAGAACTGTGAGCACAAACACTATCAAATGTCTCCATGGTATCAGAAACAGAAATGGTGACAGCACCTCAGAGTGAAGCAGCAGCAAGTCCCTGTACTGCGCTTGTTTTAAGGCAGGGGTGGCCAATCTCGATCTGATCTAGGAGGCCCAAGGTTCCCATGGAAATAGCACAATAGCGTCACATGTGAAATGATAACACCATAGTCCTCCAGTGGGCATTCCAGCAGGAGACATAACTTTGCATGTCTGGAAGCTGTACACCCAAGAGAAGTTAATACCAAAAGTGGGATGCGGTTCTCAGTGATGGGCTTGGTCCAGCACTTTGCTTCTACAAGGCAGCCAGGCGGGCAATTCTCACGCAACTCTGCTGGACCACTGTTACAATAGTGTCTTCTCATCTCGAGCAACAGGAGAAAGAGATGGTGATGAGTAGGGCAATTCTACCATTCTTCAGTTTTGGTGCAGCCAGATCTGTCCCTGTGCCCATCTTAACTAGGCCTTATCTGTATTTTGCCAAACACAACTCTAGTATGTAGCACCTTCGATTCCTCTTGAGCACTGGGCCTTTAACTCTATACCCATGCTGCTTTTCAGATCCCCCCTACGATTTCCTAGACGCAGCAGTCAAGCCCCAGTGCATCCGAAGCACGGAGAAGTTCAGGGCAGTCTCTCCAACAATATACTACCACGGACAGCACGAATCTGAGGCATTTCTGTCACTTTCATCGGCCTTGTTAGACAGGACAAAGGTCCATTCACTTGGGAAGCTGGTGGTGTGACAGGTCTGAGGGTTTTTTCCAGCCAACGATGTTGCGGGTGGGAGAAGGGGTATGAAGCTGAGAGCGACCAGGAAGGATTATATCAGAGCGTTGTCAGTTAAACCACGCCAGTTAGATTTCAGCCTGTCATTTTAAGATGAGTGAAGGAACAGCTGGTGACAGCCCTGGTGTCTGAAGTCCTAGGTCTGCAGAACAGATACTGTCTAGTTTGTAGCAAGGCAGACTAACTGCAAAGTAGCCCACACTGAGCCTCAACCTTGGCCTGGAGTCTAAGGAGGATAGTTCAGTCTTCATGCTGATTCAGTCACTGGATGGTCTGCTGATACTGCCACCAAAGAGACCAGCTGAGCAGCCAGCGATGAGGACACCTGTTCTGTACCGCTGAGCTAAGGTCTAGTGAAGTCAACAAGAGTCTATCCATTGACTGCAGAGGGCTCGAGCTTAGGTTCCAGGAATCCTCTCTACACCCAACTCGTTTCACTTAGACCCCTGAGCAGTGATCAGATTGTAACTTTCAGACACTACCAAAGTAGGGTGGATTTGAATATGGCCCAGCAGTGAAAGGCTCCTTATCTCACTATCAATTGCCTAAGACACCCACCCCCTGGGCGCTCTGTCACGCAGAGAACAGCATCGACACCCGTCCTGAGTGCCATTCCCTGGTTCTCTGGAGACTATCTAGTGTCCTGAAAGACGTTTAATGAGCCCTGGCTATATTTTGGGCCTCTCAGTGCCATGATGCTGAGTGACAATGGGACAACACCTTGTCAATAGGGGAAGATATGACAACACTGAGCCATAGCACACAGATGCAGTCACCGACCACTGATGCCGCATCAGCCTGTGAGGATGCAAGCTGTGCATAGCCATGGTTCAGTATCTGAACTGGGTTATTTCTTCCCCACGTGCCAAGTAGAAACAGGTGGTGCCCCGGCTGTGGCAGAACAGCCTGGGAGCAGCAGCGAGGGGCTGGTTAGCAGGAACTCTTGATCTGCTTCCTCACTGCCTCACATGCCTGTGCACGGGACAAAACAGACCTCCCTTGCTTCCGAGGTACAGCATTTCATGACTTGTGAGGGAGGGAATAATAGCAGTTTAGAGACGCTCTGCTGACTGGTCTGTCGCTGCAGCAGAAGCCAGCACCAGAAGGGTTAATTTAAAAATATAGTAACTGAAAAAAAATAGCAACTCGAATGAATGCCGGAAGACGTCTATAATGTCCAACAAAAGCAAATCAGATCACATAGGCCAGGCTCCCATTAGGAGTTTCGGACTACGGCCTTCAAGATCTGGCCCAGAGATGATAGGGTCAACTCCAAAGTGGTGTTGCCATTTCTGTTGGAGTCAATGGGTGTTGGCAATACTCAGCACCTCTCAGGATTTAGCCTAATATAAATACAGGAGCTCCTTGCAGTTCCCGTTAGTTCACTGCAGCCCTTCAAAATCAGCAGGATGAGCTAACTGAGGGTGCTGGGGGAGAGTCGGCTACAAGTTTCACCCACGCAAACCCAGTGACTTTCCTGACGTTGCCCCGTGTGACTTGGAGCAGAGCGCGGCCCTCCACATCCCGAGCACCGAGAGGTTCCTGAAGGGTAACCCCCCTCCCCCCCAAGTCTAAATGATCAGTGTGAGAGACTGGGATGGAGCAGAACACACCCCTCGCTCCCCGCCTGGCATGTCAGCCCTCCGCTGCTGCACGAAAAGGGGAGGACAAAAGTCCGACGCCTCCCCCTTGGGCGGGCAGCTCTTGGATTCAGCCGCCAGGGTGCCCGGGTTCCCTAGCAGTAGGGGTTAGCAGACAATGCCGGGCAGGGGAGCGGAGAGGGAAGTGACCAGTGAGTGATCCCTGTGCAAACCCCAGGCCTGTGCTATTGACTGAACGGCGGTGGCAGCAGCATCTCTCGACTCACGTGCTGCATCTGTATCCCTGACCCCCGCCCTGCTCCTGGCCCCAGCCTCCCAAAGGGCAGGGGTGGGGGGAAGGGGGCTCAGTAAGTCAGTGGAAGAGCAGAGCTTGGGCAGGGGAGACAGCATTTGGCATTGAATGCAACAGCCTCACCCCTGCTTCTCCACGGGGATTGGACACATTCTCTTCTCCCTCCCTCGGGCTTGGCCTGAACACCTCAAGGATCATGTCCTGCTTGGCTCAGCGTGGCGTGTACGTTTGTGCGCTTGGCTGGGATGGTGGCACCTGCTTAGCTCATCCACGGGACCCCTGTGTTCCCCTTGCTGACGGCGCCTCTGTCCCTTCCTTGTCACTCACCTCCCCTTGGAATCCGAAAGAGGCAGAGAAGCAAAGCCTGCGGCAATGGCAGGCATTCCTGTCTGTTACTGCTCCAGCCCCAGAAGGGAAACGTCCCCCCCTTCAGGGCGGAGTTGAGGATCCAGCAAAACGAGAGACTGGCTCAAAACACTCCTGTCCATGATGGGGTTGCAAAGTTTATAACCTCCCTTCCCTTGCCCACACCTCAAGCTACTGGGCTACTGAAAGGAGGTCTGGGCTGAGCCACTGCTCTTGAGCAACCCTCCGTGATGCTGCCTGCCTCTGACAGAGGCTGACGACAGACCATCTCACATAGGTCCCCTTTCAGGGACAGAAGGCATCAAGGCGCCAATGGCTCTGGAGCATGCAGAGAGAGTCCCCTAAGACCCAATCGTCCATCCTCTGGGACTTGATGCTAATGCTCCTTGCTTTGCCCGAAGGGAGCTAACCGGCCGGAACTCGCTCCTCTCCAGCTCCAGCCCACACAGCAAATGGCACCGGCTGGGCTTGTCAGGCTTTATCACCGGACTCTTCCATCCCCTCCGTGACGAAAGGTGGGTAAGACTCTGCCCCTCTCCACAATCCCCCTTCAGCTCAGGATGGGTTGATCTGCAGCAGCCCCCCACGTTCCTGGAGGAGAGGTGGAGCCCGATGGCTACCCCAAGCCGACATCCGCCCGCCAGCTTCTTGCTTTCGACGAGCCGCAGGGGTGAGGACGCTGCTGAAGGAGGCCGACAGAAGCCATCGCCTTCCACCCCGTGGCGCGGTGACAGGGGAGGCGGCTGTCAACAGAACCCTGAGCCAGCCCAGCTGTGGAAGGGCCCGGCTGCTGTGCATTACCAGGGCCCCGGCGCTATTTGGGAGGGTCACAGCCCCCACGTCCGCACTTACAAAAATAAGGATTCTGAGAGCGCGTGGGGCTTCCTGAGACCGCGCAGAAGCGAAGGCCGCATCGGACAGTCAGGGGCAGGGCGTGCTGCTGCCAGAGCAGTCCGGGCTCCGCAGTCTCCTGCGTTAAGGCTGTAAGTGTTCCAGGTACTGCGGCAGGGGGTTCTCCTTGACGTATTTCTGAATGTACCAGCACGTCAGGTGAGCTCGGAGGTCCTCTTCGACCACAAAGTCCAGGGCTGCCTAGAACCACAAGAGAGGACAGGTGGGTTTACAAACGCCACACTCCCCTTGGAGTGAGCTACGACAGGATCCCGGCTTACACCCGACTGGCTGTGACCATGCAGGGGGGAGCGGCCCGAGCACCAGGGAAGTTACCTCAGGCCTCCTTGAGAGCTGGGGCCCCTTGGGCTGGTGCCATGAAGGGAAACCTGCCTTGATCTGGCCAGCTCTCAATCCTGAGCACGCCGAGCCGTTTCAGTGACAGCCCCCAGTGCCAGGCAGTAGGCCACATGCTCCCCTCTGGGGTGAGGAGCAGGGGGAGCAACCTGGGGCAGAAAAGCTGAACTCTGCCCCCAGCAACCGCCCCTCGGGGCAAGGGGTGGGGCGCAGCAGAGATTGGGCTTTGGAGGTGGAGCAGCCATAATATACGCTTCCTCAGGACTGTGTGGAAATCAGCCGAACCAGCAGCCACTCCCTCCTGCGCAGGCCACTCCTTGCATAGGGGGGCCCAGGTAGCCGCTGCCCGGAATGGACGGCCATTGGGGGACAGCCTGGCACTTGCATGACGCTGCAAAGGCCCCTTACGAGGGACGATTCGCTGGTAGCTCACAGAGTTTCCCCCCTCCCCCCACGTTTGGGGTCGGGGCCGCCCGTGGCGGGAACAGACAGCCCATTGACTCTCTGAGCCTGCTGCCCCAGCAGTTGTGCTGCTAGGTGCCTGTATGAAGTTGGCCTGTGTTTCTCACTGCCCCATCCTTCTCCCCCTTTCCCACACATGAAGCGCTGATGGTGGGGAAAAAAGGGGTGGTGCTGGAGCCCCTCAGCATTCGAGCCCCCTCCAGGGGTAGCAGGGAAGTTGCTCTTGCAGCAGATGGACCCTCCGATGCACGTACGGGAGAAAAAAACGAATGTGGTTTTAGCCGAGCATGGGGTCAGGAATGGGCAAACTCCCCCACAGAGCGAGGAACCCGCCTGCTGCTGCTTCCCATCAGGCTGGGAAAGTCCCTGCCCCTTTCAAAGGTAGCAGCATCCCTTTCCCTCTTCCATGGCCTCATGCAGACAAAGGAAGCTGCTAGTTGTCCTCATCTCCCCTCTGGGTGATGCAGAGGGGCGGGAGGCAGCGGGATTACTGCTCTGGAAAGGAAAGCAGCAGGGAACTAAGCTCACTGGTATAAACTGGTGCTACTTGCCACAGGGTGTGCGGACAGGAGAGAGCTTTTCCCCCTGCTTCCCCTTTGAATGATAAATAGAAGACTAAGCACTTTAAAAATGTGTCCGCCTGTTCCCTGCTCATTAACTAATTAATGGCCGAGCACCTCGGGCGAAAGGGGCAGGCGATGCTAATCTGCAGCCACTGGACTGATTCTAGGATGGGAGGAAAAGCATCTTGAATGTTGCATCTCTGCCACATGCAGGGGGGTCTCCAGCGGACCTGTCAAGGGAATTCCCCAGAAGCAGCAAGCTAGCTGTCAACTCTGGGCCTGGACAGTCAGTTTAACAGAGCTGGTCCCACGTGCTGGGTTCAAAGCTACCCACCCCCCATGCTCCCTCCATCAAAGACATATACAGAGAGAAATCCCCATCCACTGCCCCATTGCCCCTGCCATGAAGCGGTGCTGGAGTAGGGGAGCGAAATCCCACAGGGCCAGGGCAGCCGACAGCCCTTCCCGTGTTCTCCTAATCCTCTCTGTGCTGGGTTGTGGGCAGGTGGGGGGAGGGGAGAGAAAGTTGGCAGTTGCTCCGCCCCCCATTTTATTTTTGGACATAGATTCCCAGATGATGCGATTAAACGTGTCCAGCTGGAGTAGAAAGGGCACAAGTTCCGAGGTCGGCAGGAAAAAGGGCTTCATCTGACCCAGGATGCGGGATCACCCCCCCAAACACCCACAGCTGAGCGCTGGCAGCTGTAAGAGACATGTGTGAACTGCAGCATAAAGAAGGATCTACCCTCCCTATCTAGCAACCTCTGCAGGCGTGGCTTGGCTAGTGCAGGGGGCCTGATTCTATTCTTGTGCCTCTAGAACTCTATTGGCTTCCAGGGCACGACTCCTGCTTTACGGGAGATCAGAATCAGGCCCTTTGCAAGGATATGGGGCTTTCATCTGCAACACACTTTATAGGCATTTATGTAATTCACCCCGACGTCGTCCTGTATATCGTTAGGCCTGTTTTACGGGGGAAACTGAGGCACAGAAGTAAAGGGCCTTGCTCAAGGCCACTCACCCAATCAGGTCAAAGCCAGAATTAGGGCTCAGGATAGGAGTTATGGCTCCTGAAGGTCAAAGGGAGTAACTTGTATGCTGCAGCGGGAGAATGGAGCCCTCAGTTCCTGGCTGCTAGTCCCATACTCATACCATCCCTCCCTGGTCCGCTCTCCGGGGCCGATCTGAGCTGCTGGGATAGAAGCAGGGTGTTTTTATTTTCAGATGGAAAGAGGAGGCGGTTGGATTAGTAGCTGGCTGTGATGGGACTTGCCCAGCAGCATTTGCAGGCCAGAAATAGGAACCTCTGAGTGCAGATTTCCATACCTACAGCCAGTGCCCGAGAGGGGGAGAGGACGAGAACTCTGCTGGCTGGTCACAGCGTTATCAGTCACTCATCACAGAAACCAGCTGCCGAGAGCACCCTGTGCCTGAAATGGAGCAGGTGGAGTGAACGGTCTCCCAGCCAACAGAGCAAGAGCTAAGTCCCTGCTTCATGACATGGCTACGATTCTATAGGGACCCTCTTCCCGGCCTGGCTAGGGGACAGTCAAGCCAAGCTGTCAGATGCCAGGAACAAAACAGGGCTTCCAACAGTGCCAAGGAGGGTACAATTCCCAAAGGGGCATCTCTCTGCTGATGGAGCAGTGGTGCAGTGTCACTTAAGTATCAGAGGGGTAGCTGTGTTAGTCTGGATCTGTAAAAAGCGACAAAGAGTCCTGTGGCACCTTATAGACTAACAGATGTATTGGAGCATAAGCTTTCGTGGGTGAATACATCAGATGAATGTGACAAAGTGGGTATTCACCCACGAAAGCTTATGCTCCAATACGTCTGTTAGTCTATAGGATGCCACAAGACTCTTTGTTGTAGTGTCACTTCAGAAGCTCATGTGGGGATGTTTCTGGGGCAGCCTGCTTATCTCTGAAGGATACACCTCACCTCGTTTCCCGAGCTTGGAAAACTCGGTGGGAAGCCACATGAACATAAAAACGGCCATACTGGCCATCTAGCCCAGGAATCTGGCTTCTAACAGTGGCCAATGCCAGGTGCTTCTGAGGGAATCAACAGAACAGGCAATCCTCGAGTGACCCATCCCCTGTCGCCCTTTCCCAGCTTCTGGCAAACAGAGGCTAGGGACAAGTGCCTCGGTAGTACTTCCTGGGTACTAGACACATCAGGGACGTGCTGCTCAGAGACTCCAAACGAGAGCCCCTCCACCTTTGCAATTTGAGAGGCCTCCCAAAAGCCAAAGAGACACTCACTTGCTTGGCGCCAGCTCCACCTCCATCCAAGGTGGGGCAGGCTGTTCTCAACATGCGCGAGGCTTTCCAATATCTACTGGAAGAGGAGAGTTGTCCTGCACAACAGCTCCCAGTCTTACTGTCCCTGCCAACAGCTCTAACCCAGCGCAGGAGCCACACACTCCAAGAGCCATGCCGCAGGTGGGACCGGTACAGCTTTGCGGGAGAAACAATAGTAAATCGCTAACAACGATCGATCACGAGCTGGCTGAGCATCTCAGTCATTTAGCAGCAGGCAGGGGACGAGCAAGGGGGACGTACAGCAGGGAGTATGGGGGATGCAGCAGGGTGGGTGTGAGCGGCCAAGCACGGCAGGAGGGGAGAGTGGGCACAGCAGGAATTAGGAAGATACACAGCAGGTCACCTTTCCCATCACACAGAGCCAGAGCCTTGCAACAGGTTTGCCTCATGGAGGAGGAGTGGATGGGTCAGGAGAAGCAGGGAGGAGGCCCCAGAATCAGGCTAACACTCCCTGCTCGCAGAGGGGAGTGTGCTCTAGGACTGGGAAGAGCAGGTGGAGGCAGTGAGGGACCCGCCCCAAAGGGAAGTCTGTAGCCAGGATGATCCTGGGTTTGTAACGGGGCTGGCTGGTACCCACCAGGGACAGAGCCCAGCAGTGAGATCTAGAAGGGCCCAATGTTTCTTGCTCACTCTGGGGCTAACTTAGAGAACGTACCCCCACCCCGCTTCCATGGAGCGCTCGAGCGCTGGCGGCCACGCTGCGGCAGACGGGCCATTTGTCTGTACTTGTGCCTTTACACACCAAGTGCTAGTTGGGGCAGGGACAGACTTTCTTCAGTGCTTCATCATATAGATCACGGCAGTACGGAAAGCAACTCGTTATTAGGGCCAATGTGATAAGGAGGAGCCACTTATCCCTGCCCTGCACTGCAGGCTGGAAGGCCTGGTAGGAAAGGCCAGGCGCAGAACCTCTAGGGATTATGTTCCTAACTGGGATGCTGCAGTATTGGTGCGTTGCCTGGAAGAAAGAGGGTTCAACACCTGGAGGCCTGGTTGCAGCAGGGCTAGTGGGACTCCTTGAGCTGTGCTGGTGACGTGGCTCGTTACTCCTGCAGCAGGCAATCCGGATAAAAGACAAGTCACCGGTGGGCTTGGAGGGAGAATCGATGTAGCAATAAGGAGTGGGAAAGCAGAGGCTGCCGGGCGGGGGAGAAAGTAGGGTAGGACAATAAGCAGAGAGGTGTATGAGTGATTGAGTGAGGCCTCAAGAAACCAGCACAGAAGCAGGCAGGCTGGGGTGCAGGGAATTTAATATCCAGGGAATTTAATTTGAGGGCAGAGCATTCCTGAAATAGCTGAAGATGGGGAGTTTAGCAGAGAATGTCCATCAAGCTGCTTGAAGCCATCAAAGGAGAAAGTAAAGCATGAGCATAAATCCAGAATGGGCGGAGGCAGGAGAGTGTAACACCAACAGACCCCAGTCGTCGGCGGTCGGGATCGAACCTGGGACCTCAGTGCATGAGCCTCTACTGCATGAGCTAAAAGCCAGCTGGCTGTTAGCTAAGGCTGTAGAGCAGACTCATTAATCTCGCTCTCTCTAAGTGGTCTCAGTGCCACTAGATGGGACAGAGCACCACACCCAGAAGGTGTGTGACTTACAAGAGGATGAGGTGAGAGGATTTCTAATAGAGAGGCAGGCCCGTGCCACTGAATGTACAGCCCCGCTCGTGACAGAGGAGCTGGTAATCCCTGGGTGGCAGGAGGAGGAAAAAAGTAGGAGAAAATGGTAAGAGATCATTGTGCCGTTGTGCAGTCTATATGGTTTTATAAAAACATGATTATAAGTGAATATAATGCAACTGGGATATGCTTCGTGCAAAAGGTCTCTTGTAAGGTATGATTACAAAGCTCATAATCTACTGAGTGTGATCATCCTATTTGTAGAAATGTACCACTCTAGTTTCTAAAACTAGAAATATAAAACATAACTCTGAGGGCCTATTGTAATTATGTAAAGTGTGGGCCATTAATGATGGTTTGGAATCTTGATGACTCCCATTAACAAGGACCATTGTCTGCAGATGGCTGTGTTTACCTGTTAGTCTTCCTGTATATGTGTGTGTGCTGGCAAGTGGGCAATGAAGTCTTGCAGTGACATGTGATCATGTCACCTGAACTGGAATCCATCTTTAACCTGGTGCTTTTCCAGTGAGGGGGGGTGGAAAACCAGAGGGACAAAGGGTTCCCGCCTTATGCAAAAGATATATAAAGGGGTGGAAGAGAACAAAGGGGAGTGGAGCCATCATGAAGAATCCCCTAGCTATCACCTGAGCTGCAACAAGAGCTGTACCAGGGGAAAGAATTGTGCCCAGGCCTGGAAGGTGTCCAGTCTGAGGGTGAGATTATCTGTATTCAGTTTGATTAGACATAGATTTGTGCATTTTATTTTATTTTGCTTGGTGACTTACTTTGTTCTGTCTGTTACTACTTGGAACCACTTAAATCCTTTTTTCTGTATTTAATAAAATCACTTTTTTCCTTATTAATTAACTCAAGAGTATGTATTAATACCTGGGGGAGCAAACAACTGTGCATATCTCTCTATCAGTGTTATAGAGGGCGAACAATTTATGAGTTTGCCCTGCATAAGCTTTATACAGGGTAAAATGGATTTATTTGGGTTTAGACCCCATTGGGAGTTGGGCATCTGAGTACTAAAGACAAGCACACTTCTGTGAGCTGTTTTCAGGTAAACTTGCAGCTTTGGGACAAGTGATTCAGACCCTGGGTCTGTGTTGGAGCAGACGGAGTGTCTCGCTCAGCAAGACAGGGTGCTGGAGTCCTGAGCTGGCAGGGAAAACAGGAGCAGAGGTAGTCTTTGCACATCAGGTGGCAGCTCCCAAGGGGATTTCTGTGATCCAACCCGTCACAATCATTTCCAAGGTCACTGTTGTGAGATAACATGCCCCGGCCTAGAACATGGACCATGAACCGACTGGGCAAATGCACACAGACAGTCTGGAGGAAGAGGGAGGAGAATGTGACATAGGGGGGTAGGCTTGGAGGTGCACTTGCAGATCACACTCAAATCAAACTCAGCTTGGGCATCAGCCAAGGAGGAAGCGAGGAACACCAGCTGGATTTGTGCCGGGGGAACCCAGGGCGTGGAGGCAGCCGGGCAGAACGTCCCTAGCATTGCAGCCTGGAGAGAATGGGGCAGACAGGAGGACGCTCTGCCGAGCAGCAATCACAGTCCCATTCAAATCAGACATTGGGGGAAGAGCCACCTTCGCAAAGCTTTTCTTCTGATAAGGACGGGGTGACAGGCTCTGGACTCCTCCAACCCCCAGCAATTCCCACAAGAACACCCAATCCCCCCAAAGCTATCATCTCCCCAGCTTGCTGCCGACACAAAGCTCCCCATCCTCCTTCCCACAACACACACAGGCAAGAGGCAAAACACTTGCCAGCCACTTTTGAAGAGTCCGTGATGACCGGGAAGGACACCAATGAGAACGGAACATGCCCTCAGCTACATTATTGCATCAGGCAACAGGAGGAGCAGCTGATCCACTAGCACAGCCTCTAGAGACTCCATCCCTCAGAAGGCCCACAAGAAAGGAGTTTATCATGGAAAATCCATTCATTCCCCAGGCCTGTGCATTTCCCAGCGCCTCCCACCCTCCATGGGAACCTTCGATTGCAAGCTCGCTGGGGCAGCGGCTGACTGATTGGATTGTGTTTTTTTCTTCTTGGTACCATGAAGGAGAATCAGAGAAACGAACAAAGAAAGCCAAGCTTAGGGGCAAGGAGGAGAGGTTAACGTGAGGGTCGCAGCGCCTGTAATTTGGGGTGGTTTGGTTCTGCTCCCACAGAGAAGTCACTTCGACAAACGGTGTCATTCCAAAGCTTTGCTGACATGCTATAAAATAAGGCGCATGGGAAAGATACAGCGATCAGACGCAGAATGCTTTGGATCCGTTATGCTGCGGAGTGGCTCATTAGCGTGACAGAATAATGAAGCAAAGAGACTCAGGGAAGGAAGAGCCTGAACTAAAGCTGCAAACAGAAGGGGGAAATAAAAGGTTGTGTGTGAGAGAGATACCCCCATCCCCGCAGCAGAACGCTGCAGCGTGCAAACAAAGAAAGTCTTGAGGAGTCTACACTAAGGGAAGGAACATAAATCAAGGGAAGTTATTCTCTCACCAGAGAAGCCAGGAGCCAGAGCACGTTTGCACTGTGGAACGCAGCTCTGGTCTCCATACTACAGGAAAGAGATGGAAAGATCACAGCAGAGAGCAATCAAAGTGATGTATGCATCAAGACACGTGAGTTATGAAGCAATATGAGGCCGATTCAGCCTACGGAGCAGGAAAAGGAAAAGGAACATTTCCTGCCGAGAAAGAGGATCCAGCGAGAGGACGAGGGATGGAGCAACGCAAAGAAGCCATTTCAGAGAGTAATGCATTCAGGAACAGCAGAAAAGCACCAGCCCAGAAGCAGAAATTCCTTCATAGCATGGGGCGGTTGAAATTGCAAACTGCCAAAAGTCAGCAGCCAGCCGCACTAAGCGCGGAGGCAGCTGGGCAAACTGCTGGGAAAGGAGAGCGGAAGGAACATGGCCGTTCATCAGGATTTATTAGAGCAGGCCCTAATTGGCCATCTGGTCTCCCCTAGCGCTGAGCTTTGCTGCATCTCTCCACACCTCCCCTTGCTCCTTCTGCAGCTTCCTTTCACTGAGTGTTTCTGGGCAACGCTGGTGCAAACCACCCCGTCGAGATGGTCTCTCCCCTTTCTTTGGCGTTCCTGCGTGCCACCCTTCTGGAAGGCACATGGTGCCAATCCCTGGAGTCATAGGCCTGTGCTGGAACGGACCCTGGCAAAAAGCCTTTTTTTTCTTTTGTAAAATTTTATTAAAATGCATGTTCCCAGATTCATTTTGTGGCTCAGAAATGTCAATTTTCAAAACTTTTCTTTTGCAAAATGTTCTGTTTTGCATCCAAACCTCCAAGATGGAGGGGATTTTTGGGGAGGGAGGGGTAGAGAGCCAGAAGGGGGCATGGTTTCCCCCCCAAGATTTGGACAAATGCCAAGGTTTTTGCTCTAAACTGGTCGTGTTTCACAGTTTGTGTCAAATGGGTCACTTGCGTGAGTTCTAAACAGTCTGCGGAAGCATCCCACTGCTCTTAGCCATTTTAGAGAGGCAGTGTGGTGCAGGGGTTAGGGCACTGGATCTGGCTTCTTGTCCTGGCTCTGCCACCGACCTGCTGCCTGATCTTTGGTAGCTCACTTCACATCTCTATGCCTCTGCTTCTTTTCCCACCCTTTGTCCATCGTGTCCCTTTAGCCTATAAGGTCTCCGGGGCAGGGACTGCTGCTCACTCTGCGTATGTACAGCACCTAGCGCAATGGCGCCCTGATCTCAGTTGGGGCTAAATGCTATTGTGAGATAAGTAATATTAGTCCGTAAAGGAAGGCAAAATGTTGCTAGAGGCTGGTCGGGTCATACCTTAGCCAGGTGCTTGGCTATTCCTCTTCCTCGGTAGGCGTCTGGTACCTCCGTGTGCTGCAAGTCCACTATCCTCTTCCCCACGTACTCGTAGAGCAACACTGCCCTGTCGTGGCAACCTACGGAACGCAAGGCAGGAGTTTAGCTACAGAAATGCCTTGGGGGAGAGAACCCTCTGCTCGGGGTGAATGCAGCTCACAATGACGCTAAGCTAGCACAGGTGTCTATCAGAACTCCTGGCATCTAGGGATCGTCTCTGCGGAAGGAGTTTGCAACATCTCTTTATTGGAACAGAAGGAGGCCACCACAGTCTAGCACATTGGAACGTATTGGATCAGATTTTGCTCCTAGTTATATTCCGATTCCCCATTTCATGTAAATGAGGTGTAACCGAGGGCAGGATCTGGCCTATTGGGATAGCTGTGAGGTTTCCCCACCACACACACCCCAGGCCTTGAATTACTATATTATGATGAAATGATTTGTAATATGTACAAATCCTGTGCCGACTAAAGGTTGTGGGGGAAGGGGGAAATGGGTCATCTAGGTGACCTAACAAACAGATCTTTCCTCTCTAATATATATATTATTTTTTTCCCTGTGGCATATAAAATCTGCTAGCATTTTTTGACATGGCAGCCAGAACTGGCATTTCAAATGCTTTGGATCTAGTAGAGAAGATAAAAATTCTTCTGTGAATGAAAACAGACACAAACACACACACACAAACACACACATTAGGAAAAATTACGTTTCCATCTCTAATCATCATCAAATGTGGCACACAAACATGCATGACATATATATATATACACATGTTACAACACTGTTAGTTTCTCTTCGTAATTCAAATACAGGGGAAAAGGTCTCAGTACGTGGAAAGTGGTGTGTGATACATTTCAAAGATCCTGAAATATGACCATTATTAGAAGAGAAATCATTTGAATTCTGCATTTCCACAGGACTGGTTATGCTTAAAGTTTCTCAAAGGGATTTGTGCCAAGGATTTAGATCAGCCTTGCCGAATGGTCCTGAATGTTCACCAGTCCAGACACAGAGGGTCATTGCACTGGTGTAAGAAATCCGTATAACACACTACGAGATCAGAATGGTAGCATTTCACACCCACGTTGTGCGAGTGTGATTACAAACTGGGCTGGATAATGCAGGATCTGGACCAGGTACTCACCCATTCTTACTACGATGAAGAAAAGTTAGTGATTGATATTTTGCGCAACTGTCAAAAAAAAAAAAATCCCCCACATCAAATGTGTAGAATTTTGCACACCCAAATTAGATACTGGGGTGTGCAGGGGGCAAGTAAAGGCAGCTACCATTATTTTCTCAGCAACAGCTCACGCACAGCAATTTGATAGTAATTTAGACAGAATTTCGACATCTGTGCATAAGAAAGTTTCTGAAACCCACAAACAGAGCTGATGGATCACAAAATACTATCTCCCTCACCAGCCAGTTGCAGTTGGCTGTTCTACATGAAGTCACATAACATTTGTGAGTATGTGGCCAGCCACTGGTTATTGGTGAAAGCGTTTACCATACCTCAAGCTATGCATGTTTTAGTACAAATGAAAATTCATTCACAAAAATCACACCAGAGCGACTGTTGTTTACCCCATGTCATTTGCAAGTTTAGAAAGTTTTAACCATCCAATTAGAGAGTAACAATACCATGTGATCTGAGTGACCAATCACAGGCCATGAATAGCTGAAGCAACAGATAGATGGAAAATTCTTGGCTATTTAGGAACACAGGACTGGAGTCACTGAGGTCACTGAGTCTAGTCTCCTGCTATCACAGGCAATCAACCCATTCATAAACTTACCAAGCTTCATCTTAAAACTAGTTAGGTTCCTGATCCCCACCACTCCTGCTGCAAGGCTGTTCTAGGACCTCACTCCAATGGTTAGAAAATTTCTTCTAATTTCCAGCCTAAATTTATTCATAGCCAGTTTAACCCCAATTGTTCTTGTGCCAACTTTGTCCTTTAACTCAAATAGCTCTTCTCCCTCCCTGGTGTTTACCCACTGGTGTTTTCACGAGAGCAATCGTATCCCTGCTCAGCCTGCATCTTGCTAGGCTAAATAAGCCAACCGTTTCCAGTTTCTTGCCAAACCTTTACACTTGAGGAAATCAGGCTTGGAAAATGGACTGAAAGGCAACTAAGTTTATAGAGAGTCCCGCACCTGGTCCTCCACTGCCCTGCATCTTCTGAGGTGCAAGTGGGAAATAAGAGCCTACGAAATCAGAGTAGTAGCACTGCACACACGTTCTGCACTGGTGGAATGACCCACATGGAGAATCAGGCCCATTGTTCACAGTAAAGAATTCAACCATCTCTACCTGCAAAACAGGGATGGGAAATTATACTCAATTCTCCCACATTGGAGGAAACAAACTGTCATGCATTTGGAGCTGCCCTGTGATAATTTATGAACATTGGGATGTTTATGGTATGATGAGATTGATTTAGTTTAATACGGGGGCTGTCAGGAAAAACAAACAGGAAAGGAAAGAATGTCTTGAGAAATGCCACTTGTCTGCACTCAGTTGAGTGTTGTTAAGAGACAACGTCAGGACAGAAAAAGGTCCATGAACACAAGCAAGCAAAGGAGCTACAGCAGGGTTTGAAGAAGGACCCTCTCTCAAGAGAAGTCCATAGTTGTTTTGGGGGAAGCAGCTGGAGACAGAAGGACCCCATGCTGGCAGTGTCTGGAGAAACTGGGCCTGCCTGGGTAAGCCTTTAGGTAAGACAGACATGCATATAGATTGTTCGCTGTTTTAAAATTCTTTTCCTCTAAAATGCTTTGTTTCTACTGTTAAGAGAAACAATATTTTGGTTAAAGGCGGCCATTTGATCACTGTATTCACTGCCGGTCATAGACTCCCGAAGGGAAGAACGGCAAGCGTCCAAACGCAGTCGGATCTACTGGGTAAGAACGGTACTGTAGCCAAGGAGAGCAGTGCTGAGAGGGTGCACTCTGGAAGCCCAGAAAGGGGAGAGAGGTGAGCTAGCCCTGTAACAGTGACACAAACCCATCCTCCGAAGAAGGAACTATTACAACTAAAAGCACCTAGAGAAACCTATCTTCCCCCAGGAGATCGACAGCCTTAATCTCAGGGAATTAGAGCAAGTTCCACCACCCTCATGTGGTTTCCACATTGCACTGAGCACAGGAAGCAAAGCGTTCAGCGGAAGCTGTATCTATTATAGCTAGTGCCCTACCAAATTCATGGTCCATTTTGGTCAATTTCATGGTCATAGGATTTAAAAATTCATAAATTTCATGATTTCAGCTATTTAAATCTGAAATTTCACGGTGTTGTAATTGTAGGGGTCCTGACCCAAAATGGAGTTGTGTGTGTGTGTGTGGGGGGGTGGGGGGGGGGTTGTGGTACTGCTGCCCTTACTTCTGTGCTGCTGCCTTCAGAGCTGGGCGCCTGGCCAACAGCCACCGCTCTCCAGCCACGCAGCTCTGAAGACAGCGCAGAAGTAAGAGTGGCAATATTACGACCCCCTAAAATAACCTGGTGACCCCCCTGCAACTCCATTTTGGGTCAGGACCCCCAATTTGAGAAACGTTGGTTTCCCCTGTGAAATCTGTATAGTATAGGGTTAAAGCACACAAAACACCAGGTTTCACGGGGGGAGACCAGATTTCATGGTCCATGATGCGTTTTTCGTGGCCGTGAATTTGGTAGGGCCCTAATTATAGCAGTCACCAGTAGTAGTCACCGGCTATAATTAAAGGCTTTAAACAGTTTGTTATAACAGCTCTTTTCACACGCTCCTAATTTTCCACCACACTCGTCTTCGGGGTTGACAATTTCCCTGGTCTCTGGCTGATTTTTTGGAAAAAGTTTAAGCAAAATCCTTTCAGATGTTTTTACTGAGCTGTGGCAGAGTGGGGGGAAAAAAGTTACTTTTCTCATTCTATAAAAACATATTATGTATATGTGCATGTATGCATGCGTGCACAGAGTACTGCAGCAAAAGATGTCTTAAAATATGAAACCATGCCCTGGACAGCATCTTTATTGAATATTTTTACTTGTTATCACAGTAGCAACTAGACACTCCAGCCGAGATTGGTGCCCCATTTTGCTAGGGGCTGTACACACACCTAACAAGAGACAATCCTACCCTTGAAGGATTTCCAATCTGAATACACAGAGAAAGAACCTATTATCCCCATTTTAGAGATGGGGAACTGAGGCCCGGATTAGCAAACCATCCTTATTCAGCCAAGCATGCGAACACATGTTTAACTTTAAGCACATTGGTGAATCAGATCGTAAGGGATTTGCAGAGCCAGCAATTGAACCAAGATGCCCAAGTTTCAGTCCAGCTCCTTAATTGCAAGGCCATCTCTCTTCTCAGGAAGTGTTAGGGCTTTTACTCACACTTTTTAAATGAATGTTTCATCAGTTGTCTGACTTGTTGAAAATTATGCCCCAAGTATGTAGTAGAAAATAGAGTTGTTCACTGGCGCTCAGATAGACATAGGCGTACTCTGCATGGGTACATGGCTAGTTCAGTGTGCATAGGCACTGGTCCTGCTTGGAAAGTCCATGAAGAGCCCCACTGAAGTGCATAGGGGTGCAGGCGTCCACCTGTGCACGAAGTTGCTTTATTGTTTAAAGCAATTTACAAACTGGGGAAAGTCATGGGAACTTGGTCCCTCCAACAGCAGAACAACTTTGGAGCAAGGGCCTTGCAAGCTTCGCTGGCAGGATTCGGAAGCTTTGGTACCTGAATAGCTGGATTGTTCTCGTTTTTCCTTTTCTTGCTTTATCATCCGTTTTAGACAGGGAGAAAATTAAATGCAAAGAACTGTGTGAGGGATGCAGAGTTAAGCGTTACATAAAATCAGGAAATTAAGAAATTAAGGTTCCAAGAGCAAGGTCACAAGTGGCCCACAAAGGAAATAGTTGATCTTGTGTTTTGTTTTGTTTTGAATTGGTGGATAAAGGATGCCTGGATGGGTTTTTTTTGGTCAGAGTAAAAGCTTTTGTCTTGCTTTTTCCTCCCCTTCATGTGATTGATTTAGAATCTTCCAAAGTAGATACAATTTTATGGTGATTGAAGAGCTAACAAAA